AGCGTTACGTTCGCTTTTCTACTTGTCATCTCCCTTATCATCTTCAGATAAAATAAGACCAAAAGCTGCACGCCTGATAATCCAGGTCGCCTAAAGGCGTGTTAAACGTTTACTTTGTATTAGCTCCTTGAGTGCCAAGTCGACGAAAAATCGTACGGCATTAAGTCCGCGTGACTTAATGAAATTTCCTCGATCCAGCAGGACGCGGCGTTATTTTTTATTTCCCGAAGCAACGTGGAGGCCATGTCACACGGTGAGAAGTAATCGGGTTCCTGGTCACGTTAATTGCGAGTTTCGAGAGCGGCAATTTCTCGAGGAAAGAGCATCCGCGTGCGCGATATATAAGTTATTAGTAGCACGGGTGACGTTCACATTAATCAGGAATACGTATTACCATGTATATTGTTCTGAATCATGTTGTTCCCTGCTGGAGAGCAAAGCCTCAGGGTTAATGAATTTAGAAAGTTAGACAAAAAGGCAGTTAGCTACAACGAGGTTGGTGCTGACTCGTTGTATGCCTGAAAGATGGATAGGCCATTTTGCTCTGCTTTTGGATCTCGTTTAGAATCTACTGCTGAAACTGCTGAAACAGAGTTTCGAGTAAACGCGGTTACTAAGTCCGTTGTGAACTACTAATTGATCTACCTTGGTGTACTATAGTGAACCCCTGTGCTATGTGTACTAAATGAACCTGTCATTCCATCTTTCAATCGTCACTCTTTTTCTCGTAAGAAAAATATTTTTCTGTTCATTAATTGATTTTCATTGGATTATTCAATGATTTTTACACGTGCTGTTCCAATCCTTGATATTACTACTTAATTTCGCCACGATAAGACACGAAAAATGTAGAAATTTTGTAAAAAATCGCGTTTAATAGTTTTGATAATTTATATATTTTTTTATTTTAAATGAAGGAGGTGTCAGAGTTTGTATTAAACATTGTCCTTCTAATTATTCATTTCTTTTATTATTTCAGAATGTAGAGTGAACAACTTTTCATGTCTGAATGAGAGAAGATTGTATCAATTTTTGTTTATTTATTTTTTTCTTCTGCAAGAAGGAAACCATTCTACAGAAAATCTGATTGAATCATAAAAAGAAAAGAAATAAATTTAGGTGCTTGTTAAATCTCTTTTATTGTTAGAGCTGAGCTTGTTCAATCTTTCAAAGGCGATTAATTTCAATCGATTTTAGCTGTAAACATATAATCTCCTTCAAGATTTCTTGACAGATGAGAAAGGAAGAGAGAAATCGGAAGAGAAACAAGTCGATACTTCTTCGCTTGTTCTTCACTGACTAAGAGCTTCCTCGCTTCTTGCAAATATAAACATCCTGAAATTATTTCCACGATTTATAACTTAATGATGAAGTTAGACCAGAGTTCTTTCATCTCTCTCGTTCTTCGTAAATATCTTACGTTTTTCAACATTTTTATCATTAATCTTCTTTTTTTTTTTTTTTAATACCTTTAACGTATGTTTTCTATTTATAAAATACTAAATCGATAGATTTTAATAAAACCTTCCTTTCCGTGGTACATAGATTTGTTTATATACATTGTATCAGTGAATAATATATTTTGTCTATTCGTATTTGATCGTTGTCTACTGCAATTAAAACATTATCATTCCGACCTCAGCTCATAATGCACACGGTGTTCCCGAAATCGTGAAACAATCGGCTAAGGTGTGATTCTAGTGTAAAAAAAAAGAGGAACAGAATTTTTGC